AAGGGTTAATTTTTTTTTTTTTTTTTTTGTTTTAAAACCTTCCCTATAAACCAATACATGATTGAAGGATTTTTTTACGAGTTTAACCGTGGAATCAACTATTAATATTTGCATTATGGTAGACTGTCTAAATCATTACCTTTTAGGTGCAGTCCTTCCCCGAACCCTGCATGAATACGGGATGCATTGTGCATCGCACTGCCACCACCTTTTGAATTTATCTAGACAACAACAACAACAACAATCCAGTTTAATTCCACTAGTGAGATCTGAGGAGAATAGTGTATACGCGGACCTTACCCTATCATGGGGTAGAGAGTTTGTTTCCGATAGACTCTCGGCTCTCTCCCTCCGATAACTTACCACCTTGATGAGTGACTCAAACTCACAACCTCTTAGTTGGAAGCGGAGGATGCTCACCGTGTTAATTATAATAACGTCCTACTGTTTACTTTTTTTCCTTTTTGGTTACAAAAAATTAGTATATATTTGTTCTTTGCTTTGCTGAACAAAAGTGGCTAGCATGTTTTGGCTCACTTTTTTTACCACCAAAAACCTCTGTTTTTTGTTATTTGAAAGACTCTGACATAAAGCTGTTTTGAGTGAGTGAGTGAAGTATAGTTTCTGTAAAATAAAACAGCAAAGCATGAGGAGATGTACCACTTTCCAATAATACAAATGTATTGAACAAATTTGTTGTTTTTGGGTTGGTTTGAAATCTTTACCAAAAACCAAGACAAAAAAAAAACCAAGTTCCAAACAACTTCTTGAAAAGCTCTCTTCTTCATCTAAAAAAAGGAATTGATTTTTCTCTGTTTTTAGCTGTTTCTTGAACTTCCAAAACCAATGGAAACAAGAAGTATAAATGGTGTTTTTGGTTTTTTGGTCTTATTGAGTTTCTTAGTTTATTCCAATGCTGTGCTTACTCCAGCTGGTGTTAATTATGAAGGTTAGTTCTAGTAATTTCTCATAAAGTTAGAAACTTTGAGACCTTTTTTATTGATCAAATTTAGAAAAATACCAAGAATTTCATTTTTTTATCTTTTTTTTTTAAATGTTGATTTTGGGCAGTGCAAGCGTTAATGGAGATCAAGAATTCATTACATGATCCACATAATGTTTTGAATTGGGATGAAAGTTCTGTTGATCCATGTAGTTGGAATATGATCACTTGTTCAAGTGATAAATTTGTCACTGGCTTGTAAGTAGACATGTTTTCTTGAAACAAATGAAAATCCTTCTAAAAATAGCAAAAGTATGTGCTAAAAATAGTTAGGAATTTTTTTTTTATTATGCAGGGCAAGTCCAAGCCAAAGTTTGTCTGGAAAAATATCACCATTTATTCACAACTTGACTCACTTGGAGTTACTGTAAGTACTTTAATTTTAAAAAGCTGAAAATTTTAAATGATTGATTCAAGAATATGGTAAATAGTAAGTACTAATATTATTGTGTTTTTCTTGTTTTTTACAGGCTTCTGCAAAGTAATAATATATCAGGACTAATTCCAACTGAACTTGGAATACTTCAGAAACTTAAAACAATTGATCTTTCTGACAATCAGCTCACTGGCCAAATTCCTCCCTCTTTAGCTCAATTGAAAAGCCTCCAATACTTGTAAGAACAAATTCTATCTTTTAAAGATTTTGAAATAGAAATGAGTTCTTGCTTTGAATCGAGTGTCTATCGGAAATAGGCTCTCTACCTTCACAAAGCTAGGTAAGATTGCGTATACATTACCCTCCGCATACTTCACTCGTGCAATTTTTAACGTTCTTGAGCCGAGGGTCTTCCGGAAACAGCCTCTCTACATTCATAGGTATCTCTACATTCATAGGTAGGGGTAAGGTCTGCGTATACACTACCCTCCCCACACCTCACTTGTGGGATTCCACTGGATTGTTGTTGTTGTATGGGATTTCACTGGATATGTTATTGTTATTGTAAATGAGTTCTTGAACTAAAAGCTAATGATTATGTTTTTTGAGTTATTTTAGGAGACTAAATAACAATAGTCTTAGTGGAGCTGTTCCTTTGGAGTTGTCTAATATGACTCAGCTGACTCTACTGTAATTTCCTTATCCTCTTTTATTTGAGCTTATTTTTTCATATTTGTTTCTGTTTTGTTGAGTATATTTTGATGGGGTTGTTATTGGTCTGTGTAGAGACTTGTCTTTTAACAATCTGAGTGGTCCTGTGCCAAGGCTTCTGGCTAAAACATTCAAGTAAGTTTCTTGAACAATTCTTTAAATTTCAGTTTCAATTTTCCCTTTGCTTAAGATGAGAGAAAGGAATGAGAATATTTTACTTTTTTGTTCTGTCATTGATACAGCATTATGGGAAATCCTATTATATGTGCAACTGGGAAAGAACCAGAATGCAATGGAACAACATCCTTGCCACTGCCCTTAATCACTTTGAACAACTCACAAAGTAAGAATCTTGAACCATCATTATATCCACTTTTTTCTACTTCTGGTTCTCAACATTGTTATTACTGTAATATTTTACTAGCCATTGAGATTTATGAAGTAGGTTTCTTTTTGTTGTAATCTCAGCTGATGAAAGCATGTAAAGTTGTATAGTCCTATTCCTAACTGAGAAATATGTTGTTATATCTCAGATGCTCAGCATTTTGGAAGATCTAAAACTCACAAAGTTGCCTTAGCCTTTGGGACAAGTCTTGGATGTATCTGCCTACTAATTATTGGGTTTGGTTTCTTTCTGTGGTGGAGACAAAAGCACAACAAGCAAATTTTCTTTGATACTAATGGTAAGTATGATATAGCTAAAATCTGTTTCTTGGATCCTCCAAAAAATGCCATCCTACTCGTGTAAGACCCTCCAAAAATGCAAGCCATATCACATCACCCGTCAATGAAGTTGAGTAGTAACTAGCAAACCATAAATACTTTAATGAATTAAAAATAAAAATCAATTCATAGTTATGCAATAGTCATTTCAACAAACAAAATGTGCCTATTTGTACCCCTAAATCTTTAAATTTATGTGATGAAGAATCCGACCTCTGGACATGTTGGACACTTGCACCTGTATTTGAGCAACATAGGCTAAATCAAGTAAAAGGTGTACTAATAATGTGTTGCTTTAACCAAGAGGATCAATTTTGCTGACTAAATTGTTGATAATTTCAGAACAACATCATGAACAAGTGTGCCTGGGAAACTTGAGGAGGTTTCAATTTAGGGAACTTCAAGCTGCTACACACAACTTCAGCAACAAGAACATACTGGGAAAAGGCGGTTTTGGTAATGTATACAAAGGTTCTCTTCATGATGGAACAATTGTTGCAGTGAAAAGGCTCAAAGATGGAAATGCAATTGGAGGAGACAGGCAATTTCAAACTGAAGTTGAATTGATCAGCTTGGCAGTGCACCGAAATCTCCTCCGTTTGTATGGATTTTGCATGACACCAACTGAAAGGCTTCTTGTTTACCCTTACATGTCTAATGGAAGTGTTGCTTCGCGCCTTAAAGGTAAAAACGCCCTCGAAAATCTAAAGGTTATGAAATCGAGTCATATACATCGATAGTGCAAAGATTTTTTATGCCATAAATGTAGTTTAACCTGTGTATCAAGTTTTTGGAAACCTCTCTACCTTTTAGGTAGGGGTAAGGTCTGCGTACAGACTACTTTCCCCCCAGACCCCACCTGGTGGGAACATACTGGGTTTGTTGTTGTTGTTGAACCTGTGTATCAAGTTACTTAACATTTTTACAAGGCGATCAATTCTCTGTGGGGGTCGATCCCTCACCTTATTTTGTAGTAGGGTGACTGGATAGGAGGGGGGGCCCAAGTCTCATTCTACTTGGGATTCTTTATTTGGAGATCGAGTGGGGTCCGTAATAGCATGATGTCTTCGTCTGAAGCTTCCGGCCCATCAAAAGTATAGTGGATTCATGTTAAGTGACTATAGTTAAAGCCGTCAATATAAATTCTAGATCCACCTATTCATAATAGTGTACCCATCCTCAAAATCCTGGATACGCCTCTGGCGGAACCGGCTCCGGACCCGAGGGATGTAGGCCTGTGACCTATACCTCTCTCCGAAGCGGAGCAGCCTGTGATTCCCGAACTGCAGCCTCCCCTTCTGGAGGACTAGGCCCGTCATCATAAAAATTTACTTTACAAATGACCTGATTGTGAAAATTTTACACCCTAAGCGTTTAAAACTTAAATTCATGGATAATTGATGAAGCCATTGGTTTCTATATTCTTGTCCTTAAAAATTGTTGTTTTAATTGTTGTTTCTTGCAGCCAAGCCACCATTAAACTGGAGTACAAGAAAAAGAATTGCATTGGGAGCGGCGAGGGGTTTGCTATATCTACATGAGCAGTGTGATCCCAAGATTATTCACAGGGATGTGAAGGCTGCAAACATATTGCTCGACGATTACTGTGAGGCTGTTGTGGGAGATTTTGGATTGGCAAAGCTATTGGATCATCGCGATTCACATGTCACAACTGCAGTTAGGGGAACTGTAGGACATATAGCCCCTGAGTATCTCTCTACAGGACAGTCCTCTGATAAAACAGATGTTTTCGGGTTTGGGATTCTACTTCTAGAGTTGATATCTGGCCAAAGAGCTCTTGAATTTGGTAAAGCGGCCAATCAGAAAGGCGCTATGCTCGATTGGGTAAGTATAACACATTCCAAGATGGATGAAACCTTTCGATTAAAGTGATGTGTCTTACTTTCCTTTTTAGTCTGCTGCCAAAAGAATGCCTCTGGCCTTTCTATATTTAGTAAGTTCTAAATTTCAACATTCACATTTTACCTTTAACGAAACTCCTTATAGGAATAACATGACATGTTTTAAACCACAAAATTCAAAGGGTATTTTCGAGATGTTATACTCACCTTCAGTTTAAGATCATAAGATTCAAAAGTTTTATTTACATTCTTAAACTTTGTGCCCGATCAGGCTAAGACACATAAAATGAAAGCGAGGGAGTATCTTGATTCTTGTTAGGTTGACAATTCAATGTGCATAATATCAATTTGCATATTGTTGCAGGTAAAGAAGATTCAACAAGAGAAAAAGCTTGACTTGCTGGTGAACAAGGACTTAAAAGACAACTATGATCGGATTGAGGTCGAGGAAATGGTACAAGTAGCTTTAATATGCACTCAATATCACCCAAGTCACAGACCAAAAATGTCAGAAGTTGTAAGAATGCTAGAAGGAGATGGACTTGCTGAGAAATGGGAAGCTTCTCAAAAGGCAGAATCAACCAGATGTAGAGCTAATGAGTTCTCCTCTTCAGAAAGATATTCTGATCTTACTGATGATTCTTCATTGCTTGTCCAAGCAATGGAACTATCAGGGCCAAGGTGATATAGAGAGAAGCACAATCAATTAACTGATATTGAGCTTGTGTATTTTTCTTTTTTGATAACCGAGAAATCCTCGAGGGCCAATAGTGCATGGTTCAAAACTCGGTAGATAATGGCCCGACCCTCTACTCTCCACTTAAATACCAGGATTTTGTCTATGGTAGGGTTCGATCGAGCTTGTGAATATGATCATATGGAAGCTGCAAAAAGGAATGGGATATTTTGTGATTGTACAGATACAGAATTAAGAGCAACTGACCTTAGGCTGAGTTTCTTTTCTATCTTTCTTTTTTCCTCTTAATGTTTTGAGTGAGAATTTTTCTTGGATGTGGGACTGTAAACTTGAGCTTGTAAGAATAATTTGTTGAAATTCAATTTCAGCTTATAAATATTGCACCATAATTCTCATCGAAAAATGTTGCTCAAGGGGATTAGCTTTCCCCTTCAAAAGGTGAATGGGTATTATTTCCCAACCCCTAAATATTGTCATATATAATGGAACACAGGGAGTAATATACAAGTAGTAAAACTTTTAAAAATTTATCTAACCATTCTAATTTGAAACTGAGAAATCACAATCTAAATGACTACTGCATCAACATTTGTTTTACACATTTAACTTCCAAAGATTTAGCCAAAGATCATGGTCTGATTAAAGAAGATCAAGCAGGATTGTGATATGAATATGTATACGGTCGAAATGAATCTCAGCCTTGGCATGTCCGGTACGGTTCGAAGGGTGGTGAATCAAAGTAAGATTCCGAAGGGGGGAACGAACTAACCTAGGGCCCGGGGAGGCCGGTCCGTGTTGAGATCGATATCATAATCAAACTCGAACAAGAATCGAACCATGGCGCGGGTTCGAAGCCAAGATCACGAGTTCGAGCTGAAGTCAAGCTCGAACCAAAATCGAGGATTCTAAGCAAGATCGAGCTCGCAGACAAAAGCCGTTGTAATCCCACTAGAGGGAATCTTGGCAGAAATTATGGAAAAACTGATTTATCATGGGTCTCCCACTGAATGTTTATTTTATTATACTTGGAGCCAAACCCCTTCACTATAAAAGGGCTTGTTTATCATTCCGAGGAGGGCATCTTTTTGGAGATTGAGACTATCAAAAACTGTATTATTTCCTCTATAAGGAAAAGTGATCTTTCTAGTTTCTTAGATTGATTCTGTTTTGTTAAATCCTAAATTCACTGTTCATAATTGATTCGCCTTGATTACGTTTTCTCTAATCCATATTTATCCTAGTATTCTGTGTTAAGTTGTACCACATATATTCGGAACTGCATATAAATTCAACTATATCCATTTTTTGGGTAAACAGTTTGGTGCCCACTGTGGGGCCGAGGATAACAGTGGTCACTTATTTCCGAAAATACCTTCAATTCAGGTTCGGCTACGAATAGCCACCGACCGAATGGCTTCACCGACCGATTACGAAGCTGGCCTTCAAGATGAAACCAACAACTTGGCACTACCCGAGATTCGAGCCGAAATACCACTAGATGTCAATTCACAAATTGCTTTGGAAGCAAACCAGCATTCCGAACCGGAAAGAAGCATTCAGGGCGGTGCTCGATCCGTAGCCCAAGACACCCAAAAACCGGAGGAGATCAGGGCCAGCTTACGCATGATCTTCGAGATGTTACAAGCCCAACAATTAGCAATAGCTCAGCTACAGAGCCAAACTCGCGCACAAAGCAGGCTGGTTTCCAACCCACTTCGAGAGATCACCCCCAGAACAGAGCCTGCCATAGTAAAATCTAACGAGCAGGAATCAGGGACTAATCCCGGAATTACTAAACTGCTCGAGGAACTCACGAAACGAGTCGAAGCCAACGACAAGAGGGTGGAGACGTATAATGCCAGGGTCGATCAAATCCCGGGAGCTCCGCCAATGATAAAAGGGCTTGATTCAAAAAAATTCATACAAAAGCCTTTTCCATCGAGTGCGGCACCGAAGCCAATCCCCAAAAAGTTCTGTATGCCCGAAATTCCCAAATACAACGGTACGACCAATCCTAACGAATATGTCACCTCTTACACGTGTGACATAAAAGGCAACGATTTGGAAGATGACGAGATTAAATCCGTGCTATTGAAAAAGTTCGGGGAGACCCTCTCGAAAAGAGCTATGATTTGGTACCACAATCTACCACCAAATTTCATCGATTCTTTTGCCATGTTGGCAGATTCATTCGTAAAAGCACATGCTGGTGCCATAAAGGTCACAACGAGAAAATCAGACCTCTTCAAAGTAAAGCAAAGGCAGGGAGAGATGCTGAGGGAATTCGTATCCNGGGCTCCACCAATGGTAAAAGGGCTTGATTCAAGAAAATTCATACAAAAGCCTTTTACATCAAGTGCGGCACCGAAGCCAATCCCCAAAAAGTTTCGTATGCCTGAAATTCCCAAATATAACGGTACGACCGATCCTAACGAACATGTCACCTCTTACACGTGTGCCATAAAAGGCAACGATTTGGAAGATGATGAGATCGAATCCGTGCTATTGAAAAAGTTCGGGGAGACCCTCTAGAAAGGAGCTATGATTTGGTACCACAATTTACCACCAAATTCCATCGATTCTTTTGCCATGTTAGCAGATTCGTTCGTAAAAGCGCATGTTGGAGCCATAAAGGTTGCAACGAGAAAATCATACCTCTTGAAAGTAAAGCAAAGCCAGGGAGAGATGCTGAGGGAATTCGTATCCCGATTTCAAATGGAACGCATGGAATTACCCCCGGTCACCGACGACTGGGCCGTACAAGCTTTCACCCAAGGATTGAACGAGCTAAGTTCGACAGCATCACATCGGCTGAA